TTAAAAGTAAAATAATGACATTATACTTGTCAACTTCATATGAATAATTCACAAGTGTTGCTTTATTTTATTCCTGGAGGAGTGGACAGCCAGTGAGGGGACAGTGGAATAACAACAGTGTGTTGACAGCGCTGTAGTTTATAAGTAGGACAGTGTCCCCGAATGGAAATCACAGCTAAGGGTGAATACACTCCAATAACAACTCTGTGTGCACTCTTGGATCAGCAGGTCACATACACACTCAGAGAAAAGGGGAAGAGTGTGTATTTAGCAGCATTTATACACAGCCCATTTGATTGGTTCATTTCAAATGTGCACAACTTCAAATCAAAGTCAAATCCCTCCTATGTATGGGAGGTTTCTCTAATTCTTTTTTTTTGGAGGAATCACTTTTGCACATGGCGTGTTTTTTCCCATTGTGTGCGAATTTCACAAGTGTTGACATGCCTGGAAATTGTAGTTTTTATGGCTTGAACATGCAAAGAGTGAAACAGATCCCTTAGAGAGGAAGTCAAATATTCCCTGCATGCGAGTTTTGGTTAGCTCATGAATGTCTGAGTGAGTGTGTGAATTTGGTGTGAAAAAAATGTGGCTCGGCTGCATTTCGGGGGCACTTTTGGACCTCTGGTGTGAGTTACCTGCACGGAATCACAGCTTATCTGTCGAATCAGCAGGCAGTGACAGGTCGGTGTAGAAGTCTTTGTCTGAAGCTTAAAGCGGGTCACCTCCACACACACACACACACACACACACACACACACACACACACACACACACACACACACACACACACACACACACACACACACACACACACACACACACACACACACACACACACACACACACACACACACACACACACACACACACACTCTCTCTGTCTCTCTCTCTGTCTCTCTCTCTGTCTCTCTCTCTCACTCACTCACTCACTCACTCACTCACTCACTCACTCACTCACTCACTCACTCACTCACTCACTCACTCACTCACTCACACACACACGTGATAAGTGAACAGAATCAGGTGGTTTCTGCCTGACAGGAAGGACGAATGATGACAGAATATAGGCTCTTTCAGGACAAGATGGGGAAATATGTCCACCGTTTTCAGATGTCAAACAACTGAAAAGATTATTTCCTGATTTGTATGTGTTGCTTTCAATTTATGAGACAGCTTAGTTGAATACTTGATTCTCATTGGTCGATTTGGTCCATTTCAGAGGTTGTTAATTCTCACTAACAGACCGCTGGAGGATGAAGGGACTGTGTGCAGTCGTATCAATCGGCAGAAAGAAGTCCGGTCACTTTAACGTCAGCTGTGGACAACAAACATTAGAAAACACAGTGGAATACTACATTGAAATCAGCAACAGAAGAAGAAGATAGACAGGAAGTAAACAGTAGAATAATTAGACGATTATTTTATCCCTCTGGCAGCGTCTCGGTCCAAATGACTCAGTAAACTGGATATTATTGCTCTGTGTAACAAACTTAATATATTCTAATCATATTTAAATAAGATCCTTTTGTACATAGGCTCGGTTCCACATGAACGGATCATCTGATATCCCGATAACTGCGACATAATAAAAACACAGTCAGCTAAACAGTGCTGTTATGTGTCTCTATTCATGGCTGCAGGGTCTGTGAGCCCCGCTTTTATTGCACACAACAGAGCTTTGTGTCCCGCCACATAGTTACGGGACAGTAATAGTAGGGCAGAGTGGGCACAGGGATACATTCCTCCATAAATAAGTGAGAAGCAAACAGCAGGAGGCCCCGGAGTAATGGATTACATGTAACAGGGTAATCAGGGTGCAGAAAAAGGTGCAATACATTTTTTAAGTAACCCTCCCAGCCCTTTTCAACTCACTGAGTCAACACTGGCAGCTGAGAAAGACGTGCTTAAAGAGATGCAATTCACTCGCAGATCCCCTTGTGACACTCTGGTCATTTTTCATGCTGGGAATGCTGACAGAGAGGCAGGTTAAACCACCAGGGTGTGACCGTGGGTTTGGTTTAATTATTGCTGAGGGATAGGAGCACAGGCTGACTGCTGGTTGGTGGTGAAGCTGTGAAGGAGTGTGACACAGAAACACTGACACTTGGCCTAAAGCACCTCAGAGGCATTTCTTTAGGAGTCTTCAGTCCATATTGCATATATGTTTTTGGATTATATAGTGTCAAATGTGCAAGTTAAATGTTCAAACTAAAGGGTAACATCCCAGAGTTCCCAAATATGAACGTAATGGGGCCCGTTTAAGGTTAGTTGTAGGTTTTCCCAATGGCTGTGCAAAGAAAAAGCAACAATCAAACATTGCTGCCGCTATCTTATCTATCAGAAAAAGCAAAGTAACATTTTTAGTACAACTTATACAGCCAAACTCAACATGAGTTCTGGGAGTTGTCGCAAATAGTTCTGGGAAACGTAGTAAATCACTTAATTATGAAGGAGTAGATGAGACGTACTTTTTAGTAACTTCCCAAAGAACTCTTGGCATCGAATGAACATTGCAGATAGCTGTGTAAAGGTGAGCATAGCATGAAGCGAACCCAGTCTAATGACCGGATGCCTGCCTGCTCACTGTGTGCCTGTTGTGCCTGAGAGCACGTGAGCGTCTGAGAGCAGACAAAGTGGGTGGAAGCAGATTTAGTCTCCATGTGTTAGACACCTCCCGTCAGCTGCTGTTTGTTCATGCGCTCACACCGACACTTTCAATTACATGGCCCACAAACTAGACCATTGATCCCCTCACGTTTTCCCGTTAAGGTACACCAATTTGCGCCTTCTTCTTCTCTTCTTCTTGTAACATTTAGATCAGGCCACTTACATCAGCAGCTGCAGATAAATGATCTCATGCAGCCCCCCCCCCCCCGTCCCTGTCCCCCGTCCCTTTCTTCCTTTACATATCGACTACAGATGAGTACATACTGATGTGTTTGCACACTATATGAAGGCGGCGAAGCTTGTTTGCTTTCCGTCAGACGAACTAGACACTGTGCAACAAAGAGCAGAGTGTCCTGTGAGGTACTTAATTGGAAACAACACTGTCTGCAGGACACACACGGGCCATATTCAGGCGTTGAATTATGTTGCTGATTACATTTTTTCAAGGCTTTTCTTGTCATGTGTGCATAGCTACAGTGTCGTTATGACGATGAAACTCTTAGGTCACAGGCTCCTCCAACAGTGCAACACAATAAAACGGATAAAATAGTGCAAGCAAATACAATTTTTGACATGGAACTCGTTATTGTAACAGATTACATTCCTCCCAACCCTGCTTATGACACATTTGGCTGCCTCTGCTGGGCCTCTGTGTGGGGCTAGAGAGTTTGTAGACAGGCCTGATAAAGACTGTGTTTGAGTTTGATTGACACCTGTTAGTCTCCAGTTTGTCAGAGTCTTCTTCTGCTTCCCTCACACACATTTACATGCAGCGTACGACCACTGCAAGGTAGCTTTCTGCTGTCCTGGAATGCAGTTCTAAATCCCCCTCCCCGTCTATACCGGGGCTTCGGGGGGCCGGGCCGGGCCAATCTCAAGCCCCCTTTTTCCACGTGAGCAACGTCTGGAATCTGTAAGCAAGCCGATTCTCCAGCAGCTCCGGCAGTGTGTGTGTGTGTGTGTGTGTGTGTGTGTTGATTCCCAAGTTGCAATGGAGGAGGACATAGCAGATGAAGACAACGATTGTGGGGAAGGTAACAAGCTTTCTGACGTGCCACTCGCACACTCATTCTGATTCGTGATTCTGTCGGCTGAGTGTGATTCGGTTAGCTGTTTGTGAGTTAAAAATAGGTTTGGAAGTACATGAGAGTACTCCGGCTCTGGTGGGGGTTGGTGGGCTTGATTATGACGCACCACCACTTATTTCATTTCTCCGAAAATAGGCCGGCTTTTTGTGTTTTCATAGAAAAAGTCTGCAGGTGAAAACAGAAATCATAGCCCATAGAAGCTGAACCATCTGCAGCTGCTCAGGATTAGTTTCCCCCCCCCCCCCCAAGTTGTTGTTACAGCTACTCCTCTGTGAGTCCTAACACGTCTTTGAGACGCAAACAAGAAATTCCTTTTTCATCTGAGGCTCACAGCATGCTTTTAAAGCTTTTAAAGCTTTCAAGAGAAGAAAAGCCATATTAAACTCGCCTCAAATAATAGTAAATCGCTTGAAATCCATCTTCAATTTTCAAAGGGGTGAACTCTGTGAGAGGTCCTTTTATTATCTGCCGTTACTCACTGAAAATACACGTGAAAAAAAGCTCTACCTGCACGCATTGAAAACAAGTCAGCCTACCCTTCTGTTTTAAGCACATAACTAATAAGGGAGGACTCTGTGGGTTAGGAAGAATGTACTCCTTCAAATACGTACCATTAACTGTAGCATAAGACACTCAAATATATCATTATATTTATCTCAAGGTCGTTTTCAGATTCTTTTTTCTGTATTCCTGAGGCCCTGTTTGATTTAAAATGTCCCTATTATGCTCATTTTAGGTTCATTGTGACATGTCTCCATGCTTTAATGTTCAAAAAGCTCTTTATTTTTCTCATCCTACCTTTTCACCCTCTTCTCTATCTCAAAGTCTGCAATGCTCTGGATTTACAAACAGATGCCATGCATATCTTTTCTGAGTTCCTCCATGTGTGTCTCCTTACATTATTGGACGTCTTTGCATTTTTTCTATTAAGGTAGAAGTCTGAACAGCTGTTTCAATTCAGTGTTTTCCCCACCAATATTCTGTCTGGCACATTCAAGTGTGGGTTTACTGCTGGAATTTAAAACAGCATGAATATATAAAGAAATATGCGTATCAGACACGGGTTATCATAGTATATGAGTTAGGCGTTTGTCTCCTTACTTTCTCACATGGAGTGTGTTACAGTTACAGTTCATTATTTCCGTTTTGACACAGTTTTAGATCTCATCATGGATAACAACATACAGGCACGCACCTGCACGACACATGTGTTTGACCCCGTGTTCCTCTGTTTCCCCTCAGAACAAACCAAAAGCAACCTGAAGGTAACGTCTCCGGAGGACGGGCAGCACGTCAGCCGCAGACAGGTGTCCCCAAATGGGACAAAAGGGGACGCTAAAGGCAGCCGGACCGTCCCACGCAGACACACTTTAGGCGGGGCCAGAGGCTCCCGGGAGATCCTGGCTATGCAGCCGCCGGAAATGGACAAGAAGAGGGAGGCCTTCCTGGAGCATCTGAAGCAGAAATACCCCCATCATGCATCAGCCATCATGGGCCACCAGGAGAGGCTGAGAGAGCAGGTCAGTGGGGGGGAGAGACCGGGTTTATGCACAATATTTGAAACTTTAAATGACATAAATATACAGCATATATGACATGAATATGTGTTACATGAATACATTGGTGGTTCTAGCCTAGTCTAGGATTTTACCGGGGTATCTCTGTGTGGGACAAGTTACTGCGATGCTAAGAGGTAGCTTAGATTTCAATATAATGTCCTTTTAACCTTTAAAAATAAACATTTCTATTAGAAAACTATTCGCTGAAATATATTGACAAATGCTCATCTATTTTGCAATGGAGGATATTTATCGTTTAAGATTCAAAACATTTCATTTTTTGATAAAAATATATAGATTGCTTCACTTTCAACGAATATTACAACACTAAAATGAACTTTAAGGAGCGTTTTAGCATCTTTCAGTGCTGTGTTTTGTTTTACCGGCCATCCACCGTGTTTTCAGATCGAAGCAGCTATTTTTAGTGTCAAAACATCCAAATATATATATTTTGTATTTCTTTAAGATACCTGCCCAGCACAGTTTATATGCAAATTGGCAGCTAATGCAGGCGAAACACCAGAAGCACAAACTAATGTTGATGTTGGTGTGTCCACTGGATGTGTAAATATGCAACTAGATTATGACATGTCACTTTCAACAGGTGATGATGTGTTTTTAGTTTATTTACCTGTCCCTGAGGGGCAAAAAAAAAAATGCTGTTTAAAGGGCCCATGTCATGCTTTTCACCCGTCCCCTTGTGTGTTATGAAGGTTGTTCTGCATGTAAACGGTCTGCAGAGTCACAAACCCTCAAAGTACACCCTGTAGCGAGTAAAACTCTAACACAGAAAAGACCTGTCTGTGCTGCCCCAGAACGCCTCGTGGAGATTTCTCATTTTCCATTGTGTTCTTCCTGGGTTCTGTGACGTGTGAACACCCAAATCAACAACATATGACCGGATTGGCCCAAATGGACCAATCCGTGCAGCACCTCACACACCAGGATCCCTTGGCTAACTAACAGGGAGTCTCCATTGACTTGAATAGAGCTCCCTGGTTGGTAATAGACGAGTTGGGATGGTGGAGAAATGCTCTCCGCAGCAGACCCATTCTCACAGCGTTATAAACCTTTTTCTTACTCAATATCAAGCCACACTTATTGTTTTTACTTCGGCTGTGAGTGTTTGTGTGCTCAGGATGAGTTTCGCTTGTTCTCGCTGTATCGCCGACCCGGAAACCTGTCCGCTCCTCGCAGCAGCGAGCCTCGCAACGTCTCGACCAATCAGAGCACACTGGGCTCACAGGGAGGGGGGGGGCAGGAGCTCCAACAAGCCGTGTAGGACAGAGAGTGAATACACATACTATACAGAGATGCTGTATGAGAAACTAATGTGAGTTTAGAAAATTGCACAATATAAATCTATTCTAGTAGACCTCAACAATGGAAATATGATCAGTAGAAATGGCCATGACATGGGACCTTTAACAATCTATAAAGTCTTACTCTTTCCTCTAACTTGGTAACTTTGAGGCATTGTTATTTCCCTCTGAAGCAACAGAGAAATTGCAAAACTATTTCCTCCTCTCTCTTCTTTTTGTGCCTCAGGTTAAATGTGAAATCTACCCTATAAATCTGCCTGTCACGTTCCCCTCCCACAGCTGCTGTGAAGCTGGGGTTTTGGTGCAGCAGTTGAAAACCTGTTTGGAGCATGTTTGGATCTCCATAATTGGACTTTGCTTATAGCTCCAAACCAGTGTGTGTATACCAGACTTCAGTATACATGTCTCAGGGTTGTTTTGGAGCTTTTTAGTGATTATAAATTCTCGAAGCTGACGGGGGAGGGCGACCCAGAGGGAGTCACGTCAACCTGGCTCACCTGGTCATTGTCTTTGTGTTTGCTCTGGGTCAGAGGAGACGAGAGGGGAGGGGCATGCTGGGCTTTGTGGCCAAAACAATCGAGGTAATGGTGAGCCTGGCACCGAGCCACAGGGAGCTGATGCAGAGGGACAAGACACATTGTGGAGGAAAGAGTGAGGTGCATACATGTGAAGGGAAGCCTCCTCATGAGCATTTGAATAGGTAGTGGAAGTCAGCAGGGAGTGTGTGTGTGTGTGTGTGTGTTTTGCTCTGGTCATTATAATGGTTTTGCTTTCTGTGAACCTGAATATGCATCTCACTTGAATTTGTGCTGTTAGAATTGCAGAATGAATGTCAAGAAGGACGCTCTTATAGGGCAGTTATGCTCATACGCTATTCCTGTTTTTATTTTCTTTAATAACACCCACTAATCTTACGTGTGTGTGTGTGTGTGTGTGTGTGTGTGTGTGTGTGTGTGTGTGTGTGTGTGTGTGTGTGTGTGTGTGTGTGTGTGTGTGTTGGGTGTGTGTGTGTGTGTGTGTGTGTGTGGTGTGTGTGTGTGTTGTGTGTGTGTGTGTGTGTGTGTGTGTGTGTGTGGTGTGTGTGTGTGTGTGTGTGTGTGTGTGTGTGTGTGTGTGTGTGTGTGTGTGTGTGTGTGTGTGTGTGTGTGTGTGTGTGTGTGTGTGTGTGTGTGTGTGTGTGTGTGTGTGTGTGTGTGTGTGTGTGTGTGTGTGTGTGTGTGTGTGTGTGTGTGTGTGTGTGTGTGTGTGTGTGTGTGTGTGTGTGTGTGTGTGTGTGTGTGTGTGTGTGTGTGTGTGTGTGTGTGTGTGTGTGTGTGTGTGTGTGTGTGTGTGTGCGTGTGTGCGTGCGCATAAGAGGAATTTGCCTTGGTGTATTTGGTGCATACATAAAAGACAGTTAAAGGAGATAAATTGTTAGAAAAACAACCAAGAAACGACAAAAAACACATTAAAATATAGAGAAATATTTATATAAAATACCCCAAAAATATGTACGAAAAGAGGAAAGCTGTCCAGATATAAGAACGTAGATGTTTTATTTTATGATTGACTAAATAAGACGCTGCATCTTACCGTTTTCATGGTAAATAGAGGAAAGAAGGTGTTGTGAGGCTGCAGGTAGTCAGACAGGTAAGTTCAGCTCCAGGATTTGGGGTGGAGTCAGAGTTGCCATGGTGATTGGTGATGTCACCGCTGGAGGGGCTCAGTTTACGTGTGAGTGTGTGCTGGAGCGCGAGCAGAAAGAGAGGGAGAGAGAGGCAGAGCTGTGTGAGGAGGATCGCTGCTCTGCAGATGGATCTGAACGCTGTCCGGAGGCATGGCTGCAAACAGGAATAACAGATAAAGTTTGCACTCAGACGGAATAAAACTCACATCGGTGCCTTTTGTGTAGACGCAGTAAAAGGTAAGATACTTTTAGAGCGCTTTTACGCAGCGATATCCCTCATGTTCAAACTGTTGTTGCGCTTTTCAATGCAAAGAGTACGGCTGGGAGGGTTTGTTCTGCAGGTGCTGCAAACTTCCAGGAGGCGAATGCAAAAGTTGGCGCACGACTTTTATCGGTTAAAAAAACAAGTCTTTACGAGCAAACGATTTTTTTTTGGGTCCCCTTATGTTTGGTTGAATGAACACCGTGTAGTTGTCTGCAGTAAATCTTCCTTAAAGTACAATCACCTACCTGCAGCTGCCTATAATCTGACCGAAAATGCGTATTGTATTTGGCATTACCATAGATAGACTATATCTGTATTACGCACACATGCAAAGCAGCGGAAGTGAAGGAGTATCATAACAGCGTGCTGGATCATGCAGGATATCAGAGGTGGATTTAGTGAGTTGTTGCTGTTATTACTGCTTCTGTACGATTTTACAAGGCGTTATGTTAGAAAAAAAGTTATTTTTTTGGTCCGAGTAATTCAATAGTTTCTTAAAAATACGATGGAGAATGACTTGTGGATCAATAGCTCCTGTTGGATTTCAGTTCTATCTATATTTGAACTCTCTTATTCTTGGCATCAGGTGTAGACTTTGTTATTTACTGACTTTTTTTTAAAGGTTTGACATTTTTGTGGGACTATATTTAATCATACATCCTTTGGTGTGTCCAGGATTGTTGGATTTGTACAGTATGACTGCAAGAAGCAACAACTGTTGTGTGAACTTGAAAAGAAAATTATGTTTTCAGTCATTCTGGCTTCATGAATACATGTGTTTGTATCTTAGCCTCCCTATTATCAGGTGGTTATTGGACACTGCGTCCTTATTGGTAAAGTTGTACTCCAATTTTATAACAGTTTGTAGATTCTCTCTCAGCAGCTGAAATAAATCAAGGAGATAAATCTGATCTGCTGGTGCTGATTTTTAGTTTGTACGACATGACACTCTTAGATTGATTTGGAGGATGAAACTCCTCATATGTTATTCAGATGTTGCGAGAGAGATAGGAGTGATGATGGTTCCTGAATGCATCATGACATGGACAAATAAAAGCTGTCAGAAAGCAGGCTGGTTTGGATTTACTGGCAAATGTTAGTGCTGATAAATGAATACAAAGATGATTGAAGACCGTCATCTAATGCAGGAGGAATGCAATCATTCAAAATGGGAAATGAAATTAAACAAAACAAAAATGGCAAGATTATTGAAGCGTTTGTCATGTGGTGTCCTGGGGGAGGGTTAGCTTTTCTGTCTTCAGGAAAACACACAAGTCAAATATACAACGCAGGATGAATTAGCTACAGTTCTCACGCTGAGAAAGCGCCGAACAAAACCGGAAAGACGACGTCACCAAAATGCCTGAGAGGTGAGGAAGAAGCTCTCCGGAGGTTTGAGTTACAAAGGCACATATTTATCAAGGTCAAGCGGAGGTTTGGAAGATGATATCACTTCAGTCTGAAAAGTGGATGGCCCCCACTCCACCTAGCATGACTGCACACACACACACACACACACACACACACACACACACACACACACACACACACACACACACACACACACTGAATGACGTAGCCTTATATATGAGGGCCCCCTCAATTCCTGCTCCTCTGATCCTTAAACCTGCAACAAAGGCGAGAAGTTTAATTTCCTCCCCTGGATCCCACCCAGGGGAGAGGAGATAATATCCCTCCGGCCTGACTG